ACTGGCGTATATCAGCCGATGTCGCGAACTGCGCGACAAGCTGCTTCGATGCGGAGGGTCAATCTCTGAAGACGCCTTCGTGACAGTCATCATTGGTGGGCTTGGTCCTCAGTGGCGCGCCACCAAAGCCATTCTTCGAGCCCACGGAAGAATCTCTGAAGCTGCACTCTGCGCCGAAATACATGCCGAGCAGCAAGATATGGACCTGCAGGAAGAACGACACTGGAAGAAAACGATAGTATCAGAGTTCGCATTCCACACTCAATGACGACACAGCAATTATAACAACCGTTAGCAGCAACCGAAGATAGTACCTCCCTTCTGCCACATCTGCAAGACTTCAGGGCACCCGCGCACACACTGCCCGAATCGTCAGCAATCAACGGCACCACAGCGACAACTTCGACCTTCAAGCTCCCAAATGGCTTCAACACAAGCAAGTGCGACGACCACTATTCAAGCTTCAACGACTTCACCCGGACAACCTGCACAAGGAGCAAGAAATATAATCAACTGCATGACGAAGATAACCAATTCGTGTACAACCGAATCACCACCACACTACTCACCGGAAGAAGAGCTTGACAACAGAACGCCTCGCCGTGAGCTACTCCAGCCGAATCCAACGTACGCCGCCATCGCTCAAAGTGAACCGTCCGGCCAAGACACCTGGTTCTTGGACAGTTGCTGCGGGCAACACATGTGCTCGTCCGGGCGTTTCGTACAACGCGAACATCGACTCCAACGGGAAGTGATCATCACGGTTGCCAACAACCAAAACCTGCGCACACGAAGACAAGGAGTGGTACAGCTTCAGTCAAGAGAAACAAATGTCATACTGCACATGTCTAAGGTACTCATCGCTGAAGGACTCGGCTACAACTTACTGAGCGTTAGCCAGTTGATGGCGAAAGGAATTCATCTGGAAGCCGACAGCACGACCCAGGAGTTCAAACTTTACCACGGGAGAGGCGGTCTCTACATCGGGAAAGCAGTGTTGAAGAACAACGTCTTCGTCCTCGACTTCGTTCCTGACCTGGGCACTGCAGACAGCGACGCCATCGTGAATTTCACTGACTGGACACACCCTCCGGATCTCGACCCCGACTTCAGCCCAGGAGGCTTCTGGTACTCGCACACCATTCCTGAAGCAGAACGAACACGAGCATTAGCAACAATTCGACAATCGGCAGCAGCAGCAACAACATCGGCAGCAGTAACAACATCGGCAGCAGCAACAACATCAGCAGCAGTAACAACATCGGCACCAGCAACAACATCGGCAGCAGCAACAACATCAGCAGCAGCAGGAACAACGGCACCAGTCACAGTCGACGAAGCACCACCAACACCCGCGCAACAGCTGAATCCGACTCAACGTGAAGTCCACCGAAGCGCCAACCTCGTCGCCAGCTTTTACTCCAACTCCGACGCATATCAGCGTTCACCTGGACACCGCGCCTCTGAAGAGATCTAGCACGCACGAACAGGACATCCAAGCAACACGGTTTTGAATAACACGATAAGAGCAGGAGTCCTTGACAAAGATTCTCTACTTCTACCCGATGGCAGAGAACTCCAGAAGGCACGAGGGACTTGCCTTATATGTCCCGAAGCTGACTTACCTCATCGACCGTTTGCTTCACATCACAACCCGAGCGCTCCAGCGTACGCACCACTCGAAAAAGTCTACATCGACATCCTCTACAATCGCGAACCAGGACAAGTCAACTACAACTACACCATCACCTTCATCGACGCCGCCACTCGATACGTCTGGCATCGCAACCTACCCAGCCGCGACATGGCGCTCGCAGCATTCGCCGCCTGGCTACCGATAGCAGAGAGAGAGTCTGGAACACAACTGAAAAATTTCCAGTCAGACGGAGGTGGCGAGTACACCTCTCACCGCTTCAAGCAGTTCTTGGCGGAAAGGGGGATCAAGCAACTCCTCTCCCTTCCCTACGCACATCAGCAGCAAGGTGTTGCAGAACGACTGAACAGGACCCTGCAAAACAGCATGCGCAAACTGTTACGTGGCATGCGGCTACCCAACCACCAGTGGCCAGCAGCAATGGACCACGCTGTCATGCTACACAACTTGTTGTCGTCGTCGTCACTCCCGAACAACGCATCACCGCATCTGCTGTGGACAGGGAAGCAAGGCAGCACGAAAATGTTACGAGTTTTCGGGTGCATGGTACAGTACAGACCCCCAGAAGCACGAGCGGGAAGATTTTCGCAACGGGCACAGTGGGGACTACACCTCGGCATCGAGAAAAATTACAACGCATGGAGAATCTTCGACGTCCACACAAAGGAAACAGTAGCAGCACGTGACGTGATCTTCTACGAAAGACTCACCCTTCAGACGTACCTCGCCAACTTGCACGAGAATCGGGACCTCACCAGTGGTTTTCGTGGTGACCGAGCCTTCGCGTCAGCAGCGGATGAAGCAGACTGGGACGAGCAGAATGTTGACAACGCATCGGCAGAAGCCGGACCTCTCCCGTACTGCTCCGTCAACGTGCCCATGGACGAAGAAAATCCTCGCGACAGTAACAACGCCGAAGTCTTCTACCACTTCGCCAATACCGGTTACGTAACACCTGCAACCGTCAACACAAATGAAGCAGGAAGGATAGGACCGAATTTCATCCCTGATCCAGAAGCGGGAGACGAAGCAGCTTATCCCGAGGATCCAGAACTCCCTCGATACTCACAGACTGGGCTGCAAATCCTCGGCCTCGTCACCGCAGTCCACGGGAACACACGCAGCTCGCTTCCTAAGGAGCCTGCAACGGTTCAGCAGGCTCTGGGGGGGGAACACAGGGAGAAATGGCGTGAAGCCATGGATAGAGAACTGAAGGCATTAGAGGAACGCAACACTTGGAAGGTTGTTCCCGTAAGCGTGGCACGGAACAAAACCATCCTTACCGGGAAATGGGTCTTCCGCATCAAGACGAAAGCAGACGGCACGATCGAAAAATTCAAAGCACGCTGGGTCGTACGTGGATTCGACCAAGAGCAAGGACGAGACTTCACCGAGACCTTTGCTCCAGTCAGCCGCCACACGTCACTCCGAATTCTCCTCGCCATTGCCGCCATGAAGAAGAAGAAGTTACGGCAGATCGACGTCGCGAATGCCTTCCTCTACGCACCTGTGGATGCAGAAATCTACGTCGAGCTCCCGCACGGTTCCCACGGCGAACCCAACCGAATCTGTCAACTACTTAAATCGCTCTACGGGATCAAGCAGGCACCGCGACTGTGGCAGCAGTACCTGCACGCCCGTCTCATCCGCATCGGCTTTAGTCAACTACCTCACGACCAAGGCATGTACCGCCTCACTAAGGGAAGCGACTACGTTCTCCTGATCGTCTACGTGGACAATCTCCTCTACATTGGGTCAACCGACGGCATCGCCACGTGGTTCGAAGGAGAGCTCCAGAAAGACCTCACGCTCACGGTCTCCTCCACCGTTACACAGTACCTCGGGCTCAACATCCGCGAAGAAGAAAACGCCATCTATCTAAGCGCCGAGAAATACGCCGACACCATCGCGAAACGCTTCAGCCTCACACCAAGCGCCATCTCCACGCCTTACCGCTACACATCAGGAACCGAGAAGGAACGAACTACTCTACTCAAGCCCGCCGGCATACGCGACTATCAGAAGAAGCTCGGATGCCTGCTATTCGCCGCCGTCACCTGCCGTCCTGACTTATCCTACTCCGCAAGTCAGCTCGCCACCTATCTCAAGAAGCCTGAAGCTGAACACCTGGCGGAACTTGATCGCGCTCTCCACTACTTCGTCAGCACCGCGACGATCGGGCTAACCTACCACAAGAGCGCAGCTACACCGACTAAGCTAATCGGCTACGTCGACGCCGATCACGCCGGCGACACCGACAACAGGCGCTCACGCACCGGCTATGTCTACCGCCTTGAGCCTATCGGTCCTATCTCCTGGCAGTCGAGCAAGCAGGAGTTAATCGCACTATCTTCAGCAGAAGCAGAATATATTGCACTCTGCTCAGCCACCAAGGAGGGACTTTACCTTCGCGAACTACTGGAAGAAGCGAAGCTAGCCGAGTTACCCAGCTTCACCGTGTTCTGCGACAACCAGTCAGCAATTCGCATCGCCAACAAAAACGGCTTCGCAAACAGGACAAAACACATCGCCCTGCGCTATTTCTTCGTGAAGGACGAGATAGAAAAAGGGAAACTCGATCTGTCATACTGTCCAACATCCGAGATGGCAGCCGATTACTTGACCAAGAAACTCGGCAAGCAGAAGTTCGAATACTGCATGATGCTGACTGGACAAGGCCACGTCACCAGCAGTAACACTCCAGAAGCGAAGGGGAGTGTTGGAAACAATAAGTCCTAAGTGCGCTTCTGTCGTATCAAAATCCAAGGTACCAAGCGAAGCAGTCCCAATCGAAGCATCGAGTCAACCTCGGAGGTTAGGGTAACCGCCTGGAGGTTACGAGAAAGTCAAAGGTCGCTGACATTTGACTCGACAATTACAGCGCGACAGTTAAGGACACACAACTGACTCGTTACAGAGCAGTTGCCCGAGTCGCGCTATATCGAACCGCAACAGCAATACAGTTATCTATCTATTCCCTGTACTCTTATATAAATCCTTGTATTTGCTTGTTTAATTCAATCAACTTTGCTCTCACACACCAGTGCAAGGTCGGTTCAAATTCTTCACTAAACACTTCCGCTATTACAACTACTTCACCTAGAGTTATCCCTTGCAAAGATCCTAAGGGGCTATCTCAGCCCAACACATCTTACGGTATGAGTCGTATCCAGCGTTCTTTCATCCTGATTGAGAAGTCAATAAGACAGCCATCCTTACTTTTGGATGTATTTTTTTTAATGAGACAAGACTCTCAGACATTTTATTGGGGGAAACACAGCACGCATATGTCGTCCAGAGTGCAAGAGACAGCAGGCCGAGGACTCAAGGACCAGCAACAGTGCGACTACCAGCGGGGAGAAACGTTGACACTAAGGAAGCCGCGGCGCATCTTCCCCGCGGTGCAGCGCAGCGAATCGAGCAGGAAGGACCAGGACGACCCGAGCGCACCGATGAAGTAGTCCGCCTCGCCCGCCAGCAGCAGGTTCACCAACGCATTGTCCGTGCTGCGCTGCACTCCCAATGCTCTCTCGTATGCAGGCATGCTGTCGTTGCCCACCATGCGTGGCACTGCTGTGGTGAACCACCTCCACCCGCCCATGCCACTCAGCTGCTCCACCACCTGGTGTGCCATGATGGTGGGGGAGGGGGTTTCAGGAACAAGCAAGGAACAAATCTGTGTGCGACATATTCAAGTTTCAAGTGCGACTCACTGAAAGCTCCACATAAGCACCACTCCTCACACTACCAACTTGCAATTGGTGCACTGTGACCCAAGTCACCCGCATTCAACCCCCAGGCAGGCAGCAACACGGCAGCACCATGGTAACTCACGGGCTGCATCTCAGTGGCGAGCCACACGAAGCGGGCGTGCGGGTCGTGGCGGCGCACGCGCAGCAGCAGGCGCACGTACTCCGCTGCGCCCGCCACTCGCATCTCGCGCCCCTTGTCGCCCATGCGCACGTGCATGCTCACCAGCGCCCGTGGCACCCACGGCACCCGCACCCGCCACCACAGCTGCCGCTCCATGGGGCCTGGGAGAGGCCATTGGGGGAAGGGAGGAGAGAGAGGGCGGGACACGTGTGCACTAGTGCAGGGAGGCACGGTGTACTGCAAGCACAGTGGGCGCCCATGGTGGCACTCCATGGGATGAGGAAGGGTATGCCGACAGAGGCCATACGGGAGAGGAGACGTTGGAGGGAGAGAAAGGAAAGGGGGTTGGCACATGAGAGCAGTATGGGACGAGGCAGCAGTGAGCGGCAGCTCAGAGCATCCCCAGTCGCACCCTAGAAGTCCATGCGAGACAATGCGTGGGAGCTGTGGCAGTGCGTGGGGGCCATGGCTTACGGGACGAGGTGGCAGTGAGTGCAGCATCTCACCAGGTGCGATTTTCCACAGTGAGCTGCTGTCAGATGGACCAGCGGTCAGTGCAGCAGAGGCACGCAACCCAGTGTTTGGCATCTCCCCATCTCCTAAAGCCTGATCTTCCTCTGCTACAGTAGCGTCAGCCTGTGCCACAGCCACGTCTGCCTGAGCTAAACCCTGTGATAGTACCACGTCCGCCTGAGAGGCAGCGAGCTCAGCCTGGGCGACAGCAGCAGCGGCGAGGCGGCCATAGGACAGGTGGCGCTGGGCGTTGAGCAGACGGCAGAGGCGCGGCGAGGGCGCTCTCAGGAAGAAGCGCGCCGCCTGGGCGCGCCACCAGCGGTGTGTGTTGCTGCGGAGGGGCCGCGGTGGGGGAAGGGTGGACGGGGTGAGGGGAGAACAGTGCATGGTGCAGCGAGTGGGATGCTGGGGTGAGCCAGAGCAGGGACTAGTCTGAGGCGGCATTGATGGCAGGCGGTGGCATGCGCATGAACAGGTGTCCGCTGTGGAGACACAGCGAGAGAGGAGGACGGTGCGAAGCAAAGGCTTGGAGAGAGGGAGGGAGGGAGGGAGGGGGGGAGGGAGGGGAGGGACTGAGGCAGCTGACTTCATGCGGTTGGTGACGATGAGGCGCCCCTCCGCCTCCACCACGCCCGGGATGGCCAGCCATGGCTGCCCCCACCGCGACGGCACCGCTGGGAAGAACAGCGGCCGCGTTCCCCTCTTGCGCCGCCGCTGCCTGCCACCCGACTCCTCTTCCCCCCCATTCTCCCCCTCTGCCCCCTCTTCCTCCCCTCTGCCCTGCTCATCCCCCTGTCCCTCCCCTGAGCCTCCCGCCTGTTGAAAGGGCGTGGGGGCGGCGAGGGAGGGGTGCTTGGTGGTGGCGAGCAGCGGGTGGGCGCCTTGGAAGGACGCGGCGCGCCGGGCCAATGAGTGTGCGCGGCTGGCGGGAGGGCAGGGCAGGGATGGATGGGTTGTGAACCGCAGTGCAATGAGAGCGGGCGGGCTTGCACACTTTTGATATTTCTTAAAGGTGTGTTTGAATGCCATACATCTAGCACCCTTCCTGCCACCTGACATGCCTTCGTGCCTGCCCTGCCTCAACTCTTCACTTGCAACACGCCTCACCGCCTGCACTCGCCTCACCGCCTGCACTCGCCTCACCGCCTGCACTCGTCGGACGTCTCTGCAAGGAAGTAGCAGCGCCACTCGCCGCGCATGCCCTCGCGCTCACACCCCTCGTGCTCCGCGCGCTCAAAGCCCCCCAGCAGCCCCACGCCCCCGCGCCCCCTGCCCCTCGCCCCCGCATGAGCAATGACCAGCACCCTCCTGCTGCGCACGGCCAGCGCCAGCGCGCCCGCCAGCAGCGTCATCTGCGTTCCCAGCCCATGCCGCGCGCTGCCCTCTACTGGCGCCAGCAGGAACCTGCGGAGGCGAGGGCGACGGGGACAGGCGGGGACAGGCAGGGAAGCTGAGGGCGGGTGGCATGGTGAGGGCGAGGAGGTGGGTGCTCAGCACGCAGCGCAGCGCCCCCGGGGGTGCGCCGGAGCCACTCGCCTTACAGCGGGGTGGGAGCAGTTGCGCGGGAACTGGTGGCGCCAGAGGTCGCGCTGCACAAGGCGGGTGAGTGGGTAGTTGTCCGCGTCTGCACCCTCCACCCACGGCGGAAACGGCCCTTCCACCACCGCCACATCCCCGCGCGCCTCTCCTCTCCGCTCCGCCACATCCTCCTCTCTCCGCACTGCCCATGCGCTGCTCCCGCCTATCTCACTCTCCCTCTTGCCCCCTTCACCTTCTCCCCCTTTTTCCGCGTCCCCACTCCCCTCCCCCTCCCTCTCCCCGACCCCCTCCTCCGCCCCCTCCCCCTCGCCCGCGCCCGCATAGCGTCGGAGGGCGGCCCAGGGCGGTTCGGAGCCATCGGCGGGGCGGCTGGCCCAATGCTCCTCCGCGTGCACGCGCGCATTGGCCGTGCAGTCCGCCAAATGCGGCGCCGAAACCAGCGCTGCTGGTGATGCTGCAATTCCGGGCGGAGGTGACGCGACGAGCTGTCTGGAGCCTTCCGTGTCGCTTGCGACTGGATCTGGGACGGTCGGCGACGACTTCGCGAGCTGAGCAGCCCATGAGGCCAGCAGTTCGTCAACTCGTCGCTGAAGCTGCTCGTGCGACGCTGGCGAATCTTGCGACGCTGGGGATCCCTTCTGCTCTCCCTGCGACTCCAATCGATATTGCTCCTCGACCGAGTGGATCGCGATGTGCTCCACGGCGACGGGCTGTCGCACGAGAAGGAGGAGAAACGCGATGACGGGGAGGCACAGCAGCGCGGCGTGGAGCGGCGAGCGGAGGAACGAAACGAGGGGCTTGGGAGCGGCGAGAGACAGGAGGGATGTCGCGATGGTGGACGCCACGCGGTCACTGCTAGCTCCGTCCCTCTCGGCGGCTCCCTGACTCTGCGCTTCCGACGCCGGCATCGCACACACGTACTACCACAATGAAAGCATAATATGATCACTCGTTATGGAAGCACCAAGTCGCCGCTCGTCGACAGACGGTGAGGGCAAAGGTAAGACATGCATGTGAGTACTAGGGTTAGGTAAAAACGCGCACACATGACTGCTTTTCTGTCGGTCGACAGAAAATCCTTCCCCCAAGGACGAAGGGCGAAGTGTTGACCAAAATCCAGTTTCGAAAACTTTCATTAGAGTTTTGAGTGCTGTAGTGTTACGAGTGCAATTGAGCGAGCGAGTGAGAATTGCACTCTCACAAGCAAGAATATAATGAGAGAAGGCATGAGCGAAAAATATAGAAACTACAATGGTAACGGCAATGTGTGGAAAATGGGGTGCGCGACGGGCCTAGCGCCGAGGTTGGGAAATCTCTAGGCGGAGGTCCAGAGCGCGGGTTACTAACCGAACCGTGAGGTTGGGGCGCGTCGTGAACAGTGGCGGGAACAGTGTCGAGGCGAGTGTCGCAAGTGGTAACGGATTACTGTTGGGTGCTGTTGGCGGGAACAGTGGTGTACGCGCTGAGCAGGGACGCAAAGTAAGAAAAAGGGAATTTTCATTACACTACCCTCCCCCTTAAAGCCCGCATGCAAAATAGTGACCCCCCCCTTCTAGTTGGGTCCACTTGATATACTGATTCAGAGGTTTTGTTTGTAGGGTGTAATGTGTTGCAGTTTTTCTTTTTTTCTAGATACTGAACCATCTTTTCGATTTTGATCGAGGAATCTGGTCGCAGGGTTGGGCAAATGTGTCGTAAGGGGTGCCAAAATCACGTTCATGGCACATTCACATTCGTGCCACATTCACATTCGTTCCACATTCAAATTTCCAGTTCTACGTCGTGGGAATTCCACATGCAGAGACAAACATTTGCATCGGTAGCACCTGAGCCTTCTGCAAAAAGCGAGAGCTGTAGGAATGGGTTTGGGGGTGTGAATTATGCAGAGAAAAACAAACAGGAGAAGGTGATAAACAAAGTGAGTCAAGGAGTCGGAAGAGGAGAGTGAGAGGCCGACGGAAACACGGACGCGAGGGGAGAGGGAGAGAACAAGGGGCCAAAGGTTACTGGTTGGGTGATGGGAGGGGCATTGGGGAGGGGAGGGCACGAGGGCGACGGTACGGGACGGGAGGTGCGAGCGCGAAGGCGACGGGACGGGACGGGAGAACACGAGGGCAACAGGAAGGGACGGGAGGTGCGAGCGAGAAGGCGATGAGAGACGAGAACGTGAGCACGAGGGAGATGGGAGGGGAGACCATGAGCGCGAAGGTGGTGCGAAGATGGGAGAACGTGAGCGGGATGGCGGGGGAAGGGGAGAACGTGAGCGCAATGGCGGGGGAAGGGGAGAACGTGAGCGCGATGGCGGGGGAAGGGGAGAACGTGAGCGCGATGGCGGGGGAAGGGGAGAACGTGAGCGCGATGGCGGGGGAAGGGGAAAACGTGAGCGCGATGGCGGGGGAAGGGGAGAACGTGAGCGCGATGGCGGGGGAAGGGGAGAACGTGAGCGCGATGGCGGGGGAAGGGGAGAACGTGAGCGCGATGGCGGGGGAAGGGGAGAACGTGAGCGCAATGGCGGGGGAAGGGGAGAACGTGAGCGCGATGGCGGGGGAAGGGGAGAACGTGAGCGCGATGGCGGGGGAAGGTGACAAGCACAAGCGCGGTGGCAGCTTGTGAAGGTTCTGCAAAGAGCGAGAGAGGTTAGGATTATTTGCTGCGTATGAAGACTTTGGGCCTGAGAGAGGGCGGCAAAATCGCTGAGAAAACCAATAGGAGGGAAAAAACAGAGAGAAACAATGTGAGGGAAGAGGAGAGAGAGGGCGACAGAAACAATGAGGGCTACTGGACAAGAGCCCGGTTCGAGGGCGAGATGAGAGGGGAACACGAGGGCGACGGGATGGGAGTGGAGAGATGATAGGCAACGGGAGGGCGGCTCAGAGCGAGCGCAAAGGCGACGAAGTGGGTAATGGGAGGGGAGTGAAGAAGGGAGCCGCGAGGGCGTTTCAAGGCCAGCGGCAGGGCGATGGGCGAGGAGAGTCGACTGTGCGCAACAAGAGGGCATTGCGGGCTTAGGGCGACGACGATGATGTGGGTAATAGGAGGGGAGACGTGGGAGGCGACGAGAGTGCGCCTCGATTTCGAGGCGAGCGCATAGGCGACGAGGTGGGTGACGGGAGGGGAGAAAGGAAGGGCAACGAGAGGGCGTTTCAGGGTGAGCGAGAATGTAACGAAGTGGGTGATGGGAGGGGAAACGGGGAGGGTACGCGAAGTGCGACGGGTAAAGGGGGGGCGAAGGTAATGGCGAGGGAAAGGCGACATGGGCTGACGGCGATGCGGAGGTTGACGATTGTGCTACTGGCGGGAAAAATAGCACTGCGCTACTAGGCTACGTAATACTGGAGGCCCTCCTTACGAAAGCGCATGTACATCTTGGAAAATTCGGCTGCGCAAGTACTCTGAGGACGGGGTGGTTCTCAATTTTATCCAAGGGAACCTAGTTGTCCTTGGTGGGCGTTCGGTCTTTCCAGCGGATCAAAATTTCGATCCGACGAGCCCCCCGTGGGTCGCGCACTCGGTGGCTCAGAATCTTCTCGGGCGCGATGATTGGTTCTGTCGGTGGTCGTGTCTGTCAAATGTAATTCTATGCTTGTAGGCTACAGTGAGTAGCACAATAGGGAGTACAGTTGTTAGGGTTGCATATTGTTGAGAATATGTTTGTATGCTTTTATTATAAGTGCACTGTTCGAAGTGTGTTTACAGGGGCTCGCCATAGCGAGGGATTTGAACCTGGTGGCGAGTCAACGGGCCGCAACCGAACACAGCGGTTGCGACCAGCGTGGCAGCTCAAGAGTCAAATCGACAGCAGGAGTCATCGTCTACAGTACGCGAAACTGACCTGTGGGGCGCGGCAGGATACCGCGCCCTTGCCGAAGCTGAAAAGTCTCGCCAGCGCGACTGTAACAAGGCAACCCAAGCGACGCAGCGCAACTGTTATACAGTTGCGCCTTGGTAACTGTTTGCCCTATGCGTTTGCTATATAACAGAATGTAATGCCTTGCTCATATTACACAATTCTCAAGCTTGTGTCCGGCCTACCCTCGGCCGCTGCTTTGGCACCACGTTGCAAGCCAGGAGAGCTACCTCTGAGTGACCAATAGCCCCGCCGTAGGGACGTCGTTAATTCCTAGAGCTTCCGCTGCGCTCTAGCGACTTCTTATTTCCAACACATATTTGTACTTCCACACTTCCTAGTTTCACCCATTCCGTTGCATTCCTATTCTGAGATGGTATCACGAGTAGGTTAGATCCTCGTTCGTTTTTTTTTTTAACTAGCCTCCACGCCCTACACGCCCTCCGTGCTCTCGCGCCCTCCGCGCCCTCCGCGCCCTCCTCGCGCCTAGCCCGCGCCCTCCCGCGCTGTCCAGCCTGTCGCGCGCCCTCCTTAGACCTCCGCGCGCCCTCCTCCACCGTTGCGCGCCCTCCAAAACCGTCGTGCGCCCTCCTTAGACCGCCGCGCGCCCCCCCTAATCGTCGCGCGCCCTCCTCAACCGTCGCGCGCCCTCCTTAGATCGTCGCGCGCCCTCTTCCGTCAACGCTTCCCGCACACCAGCATGTCAGAATCCCAACCACTAGACCATTGGGATAAAAGGGCTTGTTTCAGTAGCGGGTCAGTGCGCCCATAACCCCCCAGGCAAACGTGCCTGTAACCCCCCCTAGGATCGATCGGGGATCTCACAGTGTAGCTCTACTGACACCCCCCCACACTGGGAGGCCCAGGACTGAGCACAGTGGCAACGGCCTACATGTGCATATGCCGGGATTCGAACCCGAGACCGCTCTGATACCATGTCAGAATCCCAACCACTAGACCATTGGGATAAAACGGCTTGTTTCAGTAGCGGGTCAGTGCGCCCTTAACCCCCCAGGCAAACGTGCCTGTAACCCCCCCTAGGATCGATCGGGGATCTCACAGTGTAGCTCTACTGACACAGCGTGCGCTTAGCGCACACCTGCGTGCGCTTACCGCACACCTGCGTGCAATTACTGCATCACTCTGTGTGCGCTTCCCGCACACCTGCGTGCACTCTCCGCACACCTGCGTGCCCTTACCACATAACTCTGTGCGCTTACTGCATCTCTCTCCCCTTCACCTGTGCACCGGTCCCACGCCATTCCTACTGCACTTGGCTCCCGGCTCAGCGGCTGGCACCCGCTCTTCCCTCTGGTAGCGCCACCTAGGTTCGGTTAGAGCCCCGCCCCACGACTATTTTCTCACCGACTGTCTCTCGTCGTTTTCCCCGCTGGCGTCCCTAGCCCTCCGTAGTTTTCCTCCTCGTTCTTAGCTTCGCCTCCGCCGTGCTCCAGTCGCCTCTAGCATGGGCTCCGCTATGGAGGCCCGTCGCCTCCGTTTCGATGCTGAGGGACGCCCGATCGAGTTCGGTACCTGGCAACGCCAGACCACACGTTTCGTCACCAGCCAGCGTCAGGACGGCGCCACTCTGTGGGCTCACGCGTCAGGTGCTCTCGCGGCAGCCCCGTCCCTCGCCGCCCTGCTGGCCGCCCCGGAGCCCACTCCTACGGCCCATGCGGACTATGACCGTTGGGTCCTGGCTCGGGACGTGTGGCTCTCTCGTGACGCGGCCGCCGTCCTCACGCTATCGGAGCTTCTCCCCCCGACTGAGGCCGCTCACTTTGGCCAGGTGGAGACAGCCAAGGGGGTTTGGGATGCTATTGTGGCTCACTATTCCACCCCCTCCTCCGCCTCCCTCAGTCGCCTCCTCATGCCGTTCGTGTTTCCCGACCTAGGCTCGTTTGCGACTGTTTCCGACCTAGTGACTCACCTCCGCTCGCTTGACGCCGGTTTTCGTTCAGCCTGTACCGACGCACAGCTCCTTGTTGCTCCCCCCCCCATGTGGCTCACTGTGCACTGGTTAGTCACCCGCCTCCCTGGTCGTCTTGCCACTGCCTGCGACACGCTTTTTTAGAAGCACCCCACTGAGCTCACTATAGACCTCCTTCAGACTGCTCTCGGGACCATCGAGAGCAGCCTCCTCACCGTTGCCTCCGCCACTGATGCGGTGGCCCCCCGTCTCTTTGCGGGGTGTGCCGCCCCTCAGCTTCCCACTTTCACCTATACCCGCGCTTCTGCTGCTGTGTCGGTCTCTGAGGACACCTCTGCCGTTTCTGCCGCAGACTGGCAGAAACGGGGCAAGAGTGGCAAGAAGGGCGGGAAGGGGGGAGGTGGGGGCGGTGGAGGTGGCGGTGGAGGTGGCGGTGGAGGTGGGAGCGGCGGTGGTGGCGGAGGCGGCGACGGCGGTGGTGCGCCAGGGGGAGGGGGCCTTGGAGGAGGTGCAGGACAGACACGCCCACCCCCAGGTGGTGGCCCGACCGGTGGGGGCGTTGTCCCCCAGCAGCAGCAGCCACAGCAGCACCAGCCACAGCAGGGACAGCAGCAGCAGCAAGGACAGCAGCAGCAGCAAGCACTGCAGCAGTTCCAGCAGTGGGGGCCCCGCTGCAGTGGGGTCCGCAGCAGCACTGGGGTCCTCCGCCGCAGTGGGGTCCGGGAGGCCCTGGGAGCACCGGCCGCAGCAGCAGCTCTTCCAGCTGGGCCCCTCGCCCCCCTCGCCGTGACGCTAGCCCCTGCACCCACTGGTGCCTCACCGGGCCGGGCAGCCCTTGTCTCTGTGGTCGCGACGACCACTCTGCCGCGCGGTGCTTCCGCCGCCTCGACGACCTCTACCAGGCTCGTTGGGGCCCTCTCGCGGTCACGCCTCGCTGGTCTCGCCTGTTAGCCCGTAAGATTGATGTCTTTGATCTGTCCATGGACGATGCGCGTCAGCATGCTTTGTATGTTGATGCTCACTTTAGTGCTAATGGGTCTGTGTGCTCGCGTGTTCGTAGGTTAGCCTGATTGCCACCTGCTAGTGTAGCCTTGTGCCTGTCTAGCTTAGGTGCTTGTGTTGCTGCTCTAGGTACTTGTGTAGCGACTGGGTCAGGTGACCCTCCTGCTGGGGCCTCTCTGTCGTTCACGCTGGACTCGGGCGCGTCTCAGTGCTTCTTCCACGACCACACGACCCTTACGCCACTCCTCACCCCTGTGTCGGTGGCTCTGGCTGATCCTACCTCTGGACCAGCCGTTGCGCGTAGCTCCACCACCCTCCCGTGCCCTGTGGTCCCCTCTGGTGTCCTGCGCGGCCTCCACATCCCCTCGTTCACTTGGAACTTGGTGGGTGTTGGATACCTCCAGGACAGGGGGATCACGGTTACCTTCGTGGGGGGTGGGCGGACTGCACTATGTACTGACGCTACCACAGGTGCTGTTCTGGCCACTTTCACCAGGGAGCCCCGCTCCGGTCTCTACGTTCTCCACACCAAGCGCTCCCCGGTCGCGTCCTCCCCTCAGGTCGCTGCGTCCCCTCCGGCCCAGGTCCCCAGTCCATTTGCTGTGTCTAGCCAGGTAGTCGTGTCCAGTCCGGTCGCTGTGTCCAGTCCAGTCGCTGCGTCTTGCTCCTGTCACTCTCTTGCCCACCGCACCGTCCTGTGGCACCACCGCCTTGGCCACCCGTCGATCCCTCGCCTTCGTGGCATGCTCAGTCAGGGACTTGTCACAGGTCTCCCACGCACCTTCCCGTCGCTTCCTCTCTCGCTTGCCCCTCCTTGCTCTTCGTGCGTCGCCGGTCGCTTACGCGCCACTCCCCACTCCTCCTCCCTTTGTCCGGCCACCGCTCCCTTCGAGACTCTCCACTTGGACGTCTGGGGCCCTGCCCCGACGCAGGGGTCTGGGAGAGAGCGTTACTTTCTAGTGGTCGTCGACGACTACTCCAGGTACATCACTGTGTTCCCTCTTGCGAAGAAGTCCGATGTGACTGCTACGCTGATCAGGTGGCTTCTAGCCGCTGAGGGCACTCGTGGTCGTCGAGTCAGTTGTCTTCACTCCGACCGTGGGGGCAAGTTTCGCTCCGGCATTCTCGGCGGATTCTGCGGCGAACAGGGCATCACCCAGTCCTGGACGCTGCCAGAGTCCCCACAGCAAAATGGGGTTGCTGAGCGCCGCATAGGCTTGGTCATGGACATCGCCCGCACGTCCATGATCCATGCCCGTGTGCCCCATTTTCTGTGGCCTCACGCGGTTCGCTACGCCGCACACCAGCTGAACCTCCAGCCGCGTGTCTCGCGGCCCGAGGCTTCACCGACCAGTCTTTGGACTGGTTCCCCTGGTGTTGGGTCGGCCTTTCGAGTCTGGGGCTGCCTTGCACTTGTTCGCGACACCTCCGCGGACAAGCTCTCGGCACGCGCCGTCCCCTGTGTCTTCCTTGGTT